GACTTCTACCAAACCCCAACCCTATGTTATCTCGACATTGACCCGACATTTACCCGACATTGACCCGACATAAACCCAAAATTGACCCGACAACAACACGACATTGGGTCGACATCGACCTTTAATTAGCCTTACATTGATCCGACATCGGGTCGGCTTGTCTGTTCGGGACCATTTTGCTGGGTTTCTCCCATACTCCACTGTCATATATCAAATGATAGTGAGTGACTCCATTGACAGTGACAATGAGCTTCGAATGAGAAAGGGGCTCTTCAAATTATGGTCATGTGAGAATTCGTTTACACCGAATTGATTGAATGGTTGGATTGGTTCATCTTCAATCGAATGATATGAAAATTTAAAGCACTAGCTGGGTTTCCCATTTGCAACCCTACACATAGTTGCGCTCTTTGCATCGGAGTGAGCGGTGGCTACACTTTGAGTTTTCGTTATTTCTGGATGTGAATTTCTTCTCTTCTCCACTACTTAAGATTCAACAAACCATCATTAAATTTTCACCCATCAAAAGCAGTTTTTTCGTTCAAATTCAAAATTCTGCCAATGAAAATGTCATCACTGTGTTCCGGTAAGCCAGTAGAATGCAATGATGACATTTTCGTTGGCACAATTTTGAATTTGAACGAAAAAACTGCTTTTGATTTTTTGATGATGATTGAAAAAACAATGATGGTTTGTTGAATCTTAACATTACGTAGGGTCAACAGCTAACACACGTTGTATTTGTTAGAATCTAACTTTTTAGAATTAAAAAAATCAGCACAATGCGCGCATTGAGTGATCCGATGGAATCTACATTCTATAACATACGCCTGAATTCCGAATAAACCATTTCACAATAATCTTAAATCCGTCTGACAAAGAACATAGATGTCACCATTAAGAACAGCAGTGACATCTGAAGGAAAATGAACGCAGAAACATGGTAACAGATTAATTGAGCATGACGACGTTTCAGTCCTGTGTGCCACATGTGTTCAGTTGATAGTGACGCAAGTTTTGAATATAAGAGCATCATCGATATTGATACGGTTGGAAATTGTCCATTTCTTCGGGGCACCGGAACATGCCCGGGAGATCCAATATGACCGTGGACACTCAATAAGGCCATTACTGGCTGAATTCTGCAACATTATGGAGCTTTATGTGTCGCACAACGGGTATTAAGTCTTGTTGAGAATTGGCCACTACCCCGAGGATACCGGAACATTTCCAGGAGGGCCAATGTGACCGTGGACTCTCAGTAAGTTCATACACGTAATATTACACAACAAGCGGATTGACCAATCGACTGTTTGGGTACCTTCTTCTTTCTTCTTTCCTTTATTTAACGTCGGTCTCTGTTCCGCAATCTAGTGCCAATCACCGACGGACATCGATTGCCATCCATTGACGGCAATCGAATATGCAGGAAGGCAGCTTCCACACCTGCGTAGGATATCGCACCCATTCAAACACACATGGGCCGGGACCAACGGCTTTACTTCCCTTGCGAAGGAAGACGTAACCAGAGATTTTTATGCCTCATTGGGGTGAGAAAAGCAGTCGTGGATCACATGGACTGTTTGGGTGTAATATTCATCATTTTTTTCTGTATTCGTGAGATTAGTATGTGGTACAATGATGACCCGATTTTGTCAACCCCTCAGCGCATTAGACTTTTATCATTAAATAATTTCATAAAATCGTAATTCCAAATCATTCTCATGCATATTCAAGATGGGTGTTTAAGGTATACTTTGGTCCAATAAGATCACTGAAAAAGCGCATGGGTTACGTAGATCATTAGAAAAAAATTTCAAAAAAGAGGTTGTTGGCAAAATCCGGTCATTACTGTTTTCAGTGGGATCCCTTGGTACCCTTATCATTATAAAGAGCTTCTTCTTTCCCTTATTGAACGTCGGTCTCTGTTCCGCAATCTAGTGCCAATCACCGACGGACATCGATTGCCATCCATTGACGGCAATCGAATGTGCGGGAAGACACCTTCCACTCCTGCGTAGGATATCGCACCCATTCAACACACATCCCTTCCGAAGGAAGACATGACCAGCGATTTTTATGCCTCAGAAAAATCCCACCGACCTCGGCTGGGATTAAACCCAGACCCTTGGGGTGAGAAAGCAGTCACGCTTACCATTACACCACCGGCGTCGGCTAATTATCAAGAGCTGACATATACTAAATTGACCTGAAAAAGAACTGGCATCACTGATAAGTTCGAAATGTAGTGGCTTGCTTAATGCTTCAGTGGCGCCACCATTACAAAGGCAAGCACATTCCCAACTAAACCTTATTCGTGAAAAATGTGATGGTGAGTGTTATGTCTGTTTGTCTGTGGTGTAACCGTGCACTGTCAATGAGGCCATTACCGGCCAAGTAATGTAAAATCATGAATTTTGATATACAGCACGATGGGTGTTGGTTCTTGTCGAGAATTGGCTACCACTTCGAAGGCACCAGACAGGAAATGATGCCCAAAAGAGCTAGTCAGACTATGAACTGTCAGTATAGCCATTACCAGCCAGGGTTTTGGTTCTTGTCGAGAATTGGCCGCTTCCCCGGGGGAACCGGCACTATTCCGGGATGCCCATTGTGATCATGGACCATCGGTTTAGCTGGTATTCGTCCATTTATATCATTTGAGTGAGAAGATACTATGTACACCGTGTGTATAGTGATTACAGAACAAGCCGGCGCCGATGGTGTAGTGGTAAGTGAGACTGCTTTCTCACCCCAATGGGTCTGGGTTCAATCCCAGCCGAGGTCAGTGGGATTTTTCTGAGGCATCAAAATTTCTGGTCACGTCTTCTTACGGAAGGGAAGTAAAGCCGTTGGGCCAGGCCCATGTGTGTTGATATCCTACGCAGGTGTGGAAGCTGCCTCCCATTCGATTGCCGTCAATGGATGGCAATCGATGTCCGTTGGTGATTGGGACTTGATATCGCAACCGACCGACGTTGAATAATGGAAAAATGTATTGATTAAAACTTTTCCTAATGGATTTAAAATTTGGATAGATTCCCGACAAAACGCAACTTGTTGTTCATAAAAAGATTGAGGAATGATTTTTTTTAGAGGTTATTCAATTTTGAAATCTATGCAAATTTAGACGTTAGGCACTCAAAGGTTAATACGACATCTGAAAATTCACTCTAAAAGCAATATTTTGGGTTAAAACTGGGAGAATGGTCTTTGGAAACCCCAACAATAATTCGAAAACTACATGTAACTCATGAAAATCAAAACATAAGAGTATACTATCGATAGGAAAATTGGGCACACTAATTAGCTCTTAAGTCTTACTAACAATACTTTTTCAAGAAATTTGATAGAAGAAAGATGATTAGAAAAAAACTCATTTGTTTAGGGAACACCTCAATAGACAACTAAAGAATTGCTCTGTTGTGGTCAAACGAAGAGCTTCATAAATAGTTTCTACAGCAACTTTGCTGAAGACATTCTTTGTGTTTCTCATTGTTTGGCCACGCTAGAGAAGTTATCCGTTATGTGCACGACAGGGTTCCCGTGTACCCAGCTCTCATTTGAATAACACGGTGTAGGAAAAGCAAAAAAAATGTCGAGCAAGGGTTATACAAAAAAAATGAAAACCAGTGAGTTGGAATAAACACCCTGATTTTTGTAAAGGCACCCTAATTGAATGAAATTGAATGAATATTGTCGGATAAAGAGCTTGATAAAAGGAGTCTCCAGCAACGTTGCATGAAATTACCATACATTTTTATTCTCAGGACATTGCTTCATCAAGTCACCGCTCATCGGTGGGTGGAATTTTCATTCCTTTGTTTTCCTTTCCTTTCCATTCACGACCTGTGGCCGATCGGTTGGTCTGTCGGTTGGGCGGCTGTGCACGGAGTCAGAGGTCTGCATGTGAGATATCTCGCTCACGTCAGACTCATTCTTGCGGGGAAAATTATCATCAACCTCATTATTGAAGCGAAGCGTAGAATGCGTGCGTGTGTGAGTGTGAATAGGTTTGTTAGTAAGTCTGTGTATGGAACGTTCAATGAAAACGTATCCCGGTGCGGGAGAGAGAGAGAGAGAGAGAAAATCAGTAAGACTAGAAAAAGGCAGAAGAGGTAGTTTAAAATAAATTTTCATTAAATTGAATAAATTACAAAATAATTTCTCTCAACTCGACGCGTTCGAGTTAAGTTGTGAGTGGGTGGGTGGAACAAAAGCTGGCAAGAGGAGAAGGAGCACAGGGATGCCCTAGCTGCTGTTGCGGTTTTCGCGAGGGTGCGGTGCGTTGCCGGCTTGGTCTTGGAAAATCGGGGAAAACGGAACGAAAGCTTATATATAACTATACTCGATTGGCAGTCAAGCGCTCCATTCTGTACAAGTGTTGACCGTGGTCCACGTCTAAGCCTACAGTTCTGTGCTACTACTTTTCCGGAACTCCGTGACTTCCGACTCCACGCGCGCGTGTGTTTCTCGATTTATTTACCTTTTAAAAGTGCAAATTTATCGCTGTACTAAAAATGACTTCCATTGTAAGTATGATCGCAACTCGGTGTCTATGTGCAGTTTCCCATCCATCCGGAGGGGCACGATGATGACGGAATTTTTGGCACGTTGTGGTTTTCTATTTTGCACCTCGGCACACCTGCTACTATGGCGTCTAAAGCGAGCGAGTTAAGCCTTCGTCCGTGCCAAATCCCCCAACGGCTGGCTTGGCATGGCGGTCCAACCGGGCAGGCGGGTTCCCGAGAATATACCAAGATCTATGAAAACGCCGTCCATCGCTCATATTTGAAACAACTATAAAATGTAGTGCCAGCGGAGAGCTGCAGCATCGCACACTCAAACCATCGTGAAATACCTCAAAAAGTGCAGCAAAATTGCAGCAATATCGCTGGCTGTGTTGGTGTACTTGTGCGAATAAGTTGGTGAAATTGTATAGTACTTTTTACCTTAGTGCCAAACCTAGTCGGTGAACCGATTGTGTGGTCTGAGTCGGGAAACCCTTTCAATAAAATTCTGCTCAGCGGCCGGCCAATCGGTCAAACCTAGTTCTAGATCCTCCTCGCCAACAGTCAGGCTAAGTGTGCTCAGGTGCAACAAAGAAAAGAACACAAAAGTGCTGATAAAGTTCCGTTCGTCGAACCACCCCTCGCTCTAATTTAGAAAAGCAGCAATGGTTAGTGTGCATTTGTTGTAACAAACTGCTTGCTCGACTAACTTAGTTACGTATGTCTTTTGTTTTTGGAAACTTGTGAAACGAATTTGCCGAATTTGGCCATTTTGGAAAATACACACAAATTGGAAACAAAGAAGAATAACGATTGCATCAGCGTGATTCGGCGGAGCTCAGTCCGGAACGTTTCGAATCGCATGGAAGTAGTGAAGAAAGTGTTTGCAGTGTTGCTTATCGGTTGGCTTCTACTGATCGATGCTAGTCGGGTCACCGGTCGAGCTCCGGTTGGTTTCATTTATACACTGTTTTTTTTTTTAGTTTGGCTTGACATTCTTATTTTGTTTCGTTCCGTGTTAAGTTTAAGTGCTTGGAATCGTGCAGACGGGAGCTGATGCGGTGCATACTAATGCGTTGATGGTGTGAAAGTTGTCTTTGGCTGCGAAGCGATGGAATTTTTCTACGACGTATGGCAAAAGCCAGAAACTTTCCACCATACTGGCAACGCTTCATTTTAATTGTTGAAAATTGACCAAGGCCACGTATAAATAGATTTGAGCGTCAACAAAAAATCGTGAAAACAACAAAAGGGCTAACACCATTGCCGAGAAGTACCTAACTCTAGTTTTCACATGGAATAAAAGTCAGCTTTGGTATCACTCGCTAACGTCAAGAAGGAATGTTAATCATGAAGTTTGATGAATTTTCCACGGCAGGTTGAAAATGTGTTGTACGTTATTTGAAAAATCGATCAAATATGTAAACAACCATAATATATCAAAGAGTATCATATCAAAGAGTAACATGCATTTATTTTTTAAGTCGCTATCATTTCCAGATGATGCCAGGCTTTTTCATTATCAGATTCTCTCTTGGATCTTCTTCAACCTTCTCCAGTAAATTATTTCTACTAGATATCCATGATATTTCATCATATGGAGTACATCGTGCGCTTTATAAGCAAAGGATGCAAAACATTCAAGTTGATTTTAATTTCAACTCGTCTTCTTTGCTTACAAGTGAAATTACGATTGACGGAAAAAAAAACAGTGTACACGGAACGAAAATTCGTAGTTTTATTCATGATATTTCATTCATGATATTTTGCCAAAATATCAGCCTTATACATTCCATAAGACAAACCACACAGCCCAGACAACCAGAAGTCGTAAAACAATGTACAGACAGTATCGTAAATTGCTACAGTTTAAGTCAAAATCGCATATTAGAATGGCATACCTCGCATTATGTTTAAGTTAAATCGTAGAGAATGCAAATTTCCGACTTACATGCGATGACTCATTTTTCCGTCGTACTGTATCACAAATTTAATCGGATTACATCGTAAGACTTTTCAAAATGGATTTGTTATTACAGATCAAATTGCATATGATGTTAAATCAACTCGTTTAAAATTAAACGAAAATATGCACGTATATGGCTTCCACTTTTGTACGTATAAGCCATTTCTTTGCATTCTAAACGACTTGTTTGTTTGTATATATGTTTGTATATCACGAAAACAAATTTGAATATACGTGCATTCTGGTTGTCTGGGAGGTCCTATAAGAATGCACAAACGGTATGCGTGACCATTTATAATTTTTACAAATAATCAATAATAGAAATTTGCTAAAAGATGTAAGAGAATTTCATTCCATGTTGGATTTAGAACTGATTTTCGGCCTACTAAGCATGACCCGCACTGTATCTCTTTTTTCGAACGAGTTTGAACATAAAAGAAGAATGTTTCTACTAAAAAAGACACTCAAATTTATTTGCCTTTCCGTACCGCTGGATTTGATAAGGAGTCACAATCTTCTTGAATCTAATGTAGACCTATTCTTCTTCTTCTTCGCATTTCAAGCTTATCGCATATTTGCTTATTTGCGTGCTCTCAACTTAGTGTTCTAGATGCACTTCGATAGTTATTAATTGAGAGCTCTCCATGCCTGTATCATTTTTGAATTAGTATAATTGCCACAACATCATAATCTATACCCAGAAAAGTCGAGAAATTTTCCAAACCGAAGAATTCCTAGACCGGACCGGGAATCGAACCCAGCCACCTCCATCATGGCCTTGCTTTGTAGCTGCCCCTTTACCGACTGAGCTAAGGGGAGCCCCTATGCAGCGTCGCCAGTATTCCAGATTTATCTGGATTTTTGAGATTTTAAGTCGTCTTGCCAGATACACAGACAGATCATGCATATTTCCAGATTTTTAAAATATGTTCCACATTTTCGCAGATTTTTAAAACATGGTGCTTCAAAAATATTACTGCAATTGACGGACCCTATAGTCAAAAATTAAAAAAGCCAAACTTACTACTTTTATTATTGAAGGTCATCAACATTGGACATTATTTCAATATCGTACATGAAATTGTTATAACATGTTTGAAATGGACTGCAGAATCATGAAAATTTATTCATTTTCTAAAGATTATTGGCTTAAAAAAATCATCAAATTTTTAAAAAAATCTTGCCTGAATTGTTTTTATTTGGAGTTTTTGTTTAGATTTTGGCAATAATTATTATTTTTTGACTCCTGGATTTTTATAAATCAAAATTTTAATATGGAGGAATTTTTCTAATTATGAAATTTATAAAAATCGAAAACTGTTCAGGATTGAAAGCAATAAATTGAGCTTTGAATCTATTTAATCACCATGACTTTGAAGTATGTTTGTGAGATTTTGGAGGATAATTTATTAGATTTTTAAGGAGAATTTTAAAAGCATCTGATAATTTTTATTATTTTTTTTAAAGTACCGGTCAATATTGATTTACTTTAAAAATCTGAACTGCCATTTTTGCTGCTTTGAAATACAACTGGTAACCTGGACAGTATAGACAGCCCTGCATCATGAGGGCGGCCGACAGTCTTCATCGTGTGGCGTCTACGGTGGAACTGTCATGACCATGATACTGCTTCATCATTAATGGCTTTGAATCCAATAAGGATTTGTGAAATGTATTGCTAATAGTGAATAGCTCGTTTGGCGAAGAATTGATTATATAGTCTGCTTCAGGCAATCTAATATATAATCGACGAGTACGCATTAAGTAAATTAAACTATGATTTAAAGTGAATTCTTACGAATTCTGCATAACAACAGGTGGACTTAAAAATATAAGATAGTGTGGTGAAGACGTATGTCAACATATGGTCTGTTATTCAGAACATATTAAGCATCCACTGTTCTTTGTTGCTATTCTGCTAATCCAATTGTTTGATTTGTAGGAGAAGTTATTTTAAATTTTATTTGATTCCTGTTGATAAGTGGACGTTAAATTGCGAGGAAGACAAGACCCAGCTTTTCTGACAAATTGTTGAATTTCAGCTTTGAAGCACATCGATAAATAAAGCTCTCAAACCTCAGTTTTTTTCCTGTCCACCATAAACAGCCCTAGAATTCAGAATTTACAGTGAAGTGTGAAGCGAACACTTTGTGAAACCAGAGGAGAATTTCAAGTCAATTCTGGAATCTTCGTGGTCGTTTAGACGTGTTGTGAGTGCCACGAAGTGAGGGTTCGATTCCCACTCCAGCCAGTGTAACTTTTCGCAACCCTGAAAATTTCCCTACTGCTGTGGTGTGTTGGCAGTTGTCTAGTGTTAGGTATGCAGTCTGTGCAACCTTTGGTTGAAGACGGTATAAATTGTCTTTTAAAAGCTCTGAGGACAATTGTATGGAGATTTTGTGAAGAAAGGAAATAGTTAGAGTTCGGAAGAGACATCATAGAAAATGTAAGATGAAACTGAAGGAGAATGCTGATACGAATCGTGAGAATAATTTCAATGGAATTCGGTCCAACGTTTCTATGGAGATTCATTTTTATAAAATTTTAAGAAATTTAAACGGAATTATGCGAAAAGAACATCTGGAAACTTATGGGAGGCTTTCAAGGCCATTTTGGCAAAGTACTTGAGTGCTTAGGAAATACTGAAGAAGACTTTACCTACAAAGCAGTTCCATGGGAATTATCAGATAAGTCGGAAGAGTCATTCTGAAGAGTGTACCAAGGAAATTATTAAGAATATTCTAAGCGAATTTCACAGCGAAAAATGGAGACAAAATTATGCCAATTCTTGGAAATTATTACCAGTTCGAGAGAATTGTGGAATCAGAGAGTAATTTATAAGAGATTACAAGAGATAATTCTAAGAACTCTTAGAATGTTACTGAAAAAGTTTGGATATTATCTGGATTATTTTAGAGGCATCCAGAAAAGAAGCATAATGGAATTCTAGGATGATTAAAATGGAACTCTGAAAAAAGGACGGAGATATCCGGAGAAGAGTTCCAAGTAAATTCAGACGATAAAAAATTTCATGATGTGGGACACAGGAAAAATATTAATTCCAGAATTTAGAATCATTTCAAGATCTGGAGACTTTCAATTTATTTATATAATAAAATTATTCTTTGGCATAAAATTATGTATAATGGTCATGCGAGTTACCCGTAGTTTAGGTATACTGAAAGTGAGTACCACGATGTTAGGCTTGAATTGCCACTTCAGAGAAGGTGAATTATACTAAAATTGCCTACTGGTCTACCTGGTTTTGAGTTTTGTATGATGTCAAGAATTAAATTGTAAGACTGATCAACCTTTAATATAAGAATTAATTAGAACAGATACAATCTTCAAGACATAAGTACAGATACTGCATCAAATAGTTAGGACTAAATCAACTAATAGGTAAAGAAATCCAACCCATCAAAGTTGCTTGATTTTTTATTTTAAAAAACAATTATAAAAATAATTTTTGCAGTATTTAACAACAATTAAACTCATTTTTTGAAAAGCTGCGTAATGGATATTCAATTTTTTTGGGCACATTGTGTCAATACTTTTCATAACTTTTCGATGATTTTAGCAATGCAGGAGTTTTTGGAGCATTCCAGAGTTTTCTACTTAAAAGGTCCAGATTTTTTTGAAAATGACCTGGCAACGCTGGGCCTATGAGTTTCTCATTTAAAGCATGCTGAGCTGTCAATG